CACCAGATTTCTTCTTTAAAAGATGCTTTTTCTCAGATTTCTGCCACCACCCCAATACGAAGGAGGTAAATGCAGTATTGGTTGTGCTGTTCACAGCTTTGAAACATATTTTGAAAAAGTGTGTTTTTCCAGAAACTCTGCTTGACTCCATTTAATCCACAGACTTAACTGTGAACAGTTGGACTGCTTGATTTATACAGTTGCGAATGCACAACACAAGACACACCAATTCATTCCCTCAGGTGCAATTTTTGTGTACAGTATACTTGCTATTGCAACTTCCTTGGCTCCGCCCTTTATTCCTTATTTAATCTCAGTGCACTAATGTGTACTTGTACTAAATAATATGAGTACTTGATGGTTAGTATGTTCAAAATGTCTATCATATTCTAGTTTTTTTGTTACTTATCTATGCATCGGATCTTGTACTTTTGTTGTTGACAGCAGGATTATGCAGAGTAATGTTGACATTGTCTCCAGAAAGACAAATTCTTGGACAAATAAAACCAAAACTATCTGCATGGCTTGATTACGCTGGAGGTAGGTAGGAAAATATGTTATTTGAGCAAATCTACCCTTTTACTGCTTTATTCAAGGCAACAACAAGAATGCCCAGTTGTAGGGTATAAAAGATGCATGTAAGCAGTTTAACCTGATTAGACCTTTACTGGAGAATGGCCAGTAGCTGGAGTAAGGCCACGCATGTAAGTGTAGCCTGAGAGAGAGAAAGAGATGAAATAAGAGAGTATGAGTTCAAAGTGGAGGAGAAATTCACTCTCTATACCAATGACACTACTGAAATTTGATGTAGGTGTGTGTGCATGGATGTGTATTTTGGGAAAGTCAGAGTGTGAATGTGGGTATTTGTGCATGTGCGACTGTACGTGTATTTCTGCATAAGTCTAATATGCCTGTGTGTGTTTGTGTATGCGTGTGTAAATGCAAGAGAGTGCGCGAGCGCACTTGAGAGACTGTGTAAAAGAAATGCAGAGGGCATTCTCTTCAAACGAATGGTATTCAAAGAGCAGGGGCTTTCAAAAGGAGACAGCACTGAGGGCAGTCGGGTTTGAACTGTGTTTGTGCAAAGCAGTCTGCCTTTAAAAAAGAAAAAAAGGAATTCCTGAAGTGCATTCACTGAGTTTTCTTGGAGGAGGAGAGGATATTAGGAGAAATAAAAAGAAAGTGTTAGAGCCAGACAGACAGAAAGGTAGTTTGCTCACCGACCAGAGAGCACATAGAGGAATAAGGGAGAGAAGTGGACTGGAAGGCAAGAGAAAGAAAGACGGAGAGAAAGAAAGAAGGAAAGATAGAAAGAAAGAAAGAAAGAAAGAGCAGGACACATAGAGGGAGAACATTGGCCTGGGGCGTAGTACGTGCTGTGCCTCCTTTCTCCCCTTTCTCCAGGAAACTCAGAGAGGAGGAAAGAAAAAGAGACGAGAAGAACAAAAACCCACTTTCCATCCGTACCTATGGGAGCGCCGAAGCCGGCGGTGCCCCATATAGCTGCACCAATCTGACCTCGGCGCTGCTGGAGTGATGGCTAGTGAATTACCATGTCAGTGGCCCAGTGCCCCGTCATGCCAGCTCCCTCACACACACATAATAAACACACTCCATCACCCACTCGGCCCAACCACACCGCCCAAAGAGAGCATATTAATTATAGATGTACGTTAAATTACTTTCATTACCTCTCCTGCTCAGTGGACGGGACAGAGTCAGGGATGATGGATGGAAAGGGGTTCGCTATACCTCCCCAAGTAGTAAACGCCCCCTCTTTTACTTTGTCTAACCCTTTTCCCGCCCTTTCTTTCTTTATTTTGCACCAATTCCTCCACACTTTGTCATTCTCTTCCCCATGCAAACATTCTTCCCTTCCATGATCCCAGCACGAACACTAAAAACAAGTGACCATTTTCCTAGACAGTGGGAGAGAAGTGGGTACTGTAGCAGGTGGAGTTGTAGAGCTAAAACAGCCAAAGCAAACCCTTCGTGGCTGAGCTATTTTAAGGAATATTCCACTGAAAACCTATCTGTGAGTAAGGCTACAAGCGAACAGCAGAGAAATTGATCATGCTGCAGAAGAGGTTTGAGAGGAAGAAATAGGCTACTGGTCTACTAGTCTACTAGAACCAGACCAATAAAAAGTCTGATTCTGCCTGATGTTTCCTTGTTGCAGATGTATCAGGATTGGTGTATATGTCATTTGGATTACTCAGGGCCACCTAACTTAAGCATAGTACTGGATGCCAATTTTTGGTGGAGCATCCCTTTAAAGCAGTAAGTTTCCGGAAATATGGATATTTGCTTTCTTACAAATGTCAAATTATTTGATTCCAACAATCGAATAGCGTTAAGACTGGAAACTAGCCTAGCTCTGTCTAAAGGTAAACTATCCACCTACCAGCAACTCTAGAGCTCACTAATTCACGCGTGACATATGGGCTTTACAGGTGCAGGTAGGTGGAGCTAAGCTAAGGTAAGGGGCTAAAGCCAATAGTTAGCTTAGCTAACCAAGCCGTTAGCCAGTAGCTCTTTATTTACCAGAAAAATAGGAGCATGACATCAATCTTCTCATCTAGCAGTTGGCAAAAAGCAAATAAGCATGTTTCCCAAACTGTTGAAGTGAACAATGATATGAGTGCCCCCTGATCATTCATCCATGACAGCAGTAGCAGGGGAGAAAGGAGATTCAAACATTTTATTTTCCATCTTTTCCTCAACACATTCATGTTGGATTGCATTATATTCAAATGGGAATCAGAAAATCAAGGACATGGTGTAACAAGACACATGGTGTCTAAACAGTTTAAAGAAAGACAGAATAAAGAAAACTGAATGATCAGTATGTCATCAGTCCCAGAGAGGGCAGATGGGCTGATTGTGAATTAATGAATCATGATAACTCAATCAACTAGATCCTGAAGATATTTAGATGGTTCTTCATGTTCAACCCAAAGTTGTCGAGTGTGTCTTTTAAATCAAACGTATTAGTTGTGGAAAACAAATAGCACCTTCTTCATGGGAGCATGTTTTGACATTTCAGGCGGTGCTTGATGAAACCTACTATGTAAGCCCTTTTTGATGAACTTTTGCTCCGATGTTAATACTGAGACTCCAGTGGGGATCACATGATTCCTGACGTGGCTAATGTGGAAATAGCACACCTCTAGTGTTATCTAGCATTATCCTTCAGTGTACTCCCTGAGCAAATAACAAAGCATCACATCTCTACTTGAAACCTTAAGGCCACTGTAGGATGCTCAGTGTGTGTGTGTGTGTGTGTGTGTGTGTGTGTGCACACTTGTCCTTGCTCCACTGTGTTCTGTCAGTTTGATCTCACTCCGGCGAGGGAAGCATTACATTGGTAGCCTGTGCTTGCTCAACACCCTGGGTATATCTAATCTCTGCTGCTCTGAAACATCCCATTCAATTTCTTCTGTAGATAGATGCCAGTGCTCTTTGAGCCCTCTGGGAGCACATTCTTTCCTTCCCGCTTGTCTCCGACTCTTTGCTTGTGTAAGACCACTCCAGATTCGTCAGGTCAGCCACATGTTGTAAACAACCGGGATCTGATTCGCACAGGTCCAAAGGTCAGGAGAAGGGCTGTAGACAACATCCACACACACCAGTTTCTTGTCCGCACTGGCTTCATTTCTTTTTAAGTAGATGCTGATGAACACAAGATTGCACTATGTTTGGCGCGTCCACAGGCAGGATGTTTTCATGAAGATTGATACCCAATTACAATCACGCACTCCCAAGTTGGCAACTAGTTTAACAATAACTGACAGTTAACTGAGCGCTGTCAATTAGTTAGTACATGGAGATACATTCTAATTGTAGTACTTCATTAAGAGATGAGTAAGAAACTCAATCACAGCTTCTCTGTCTGTTTACAAACTCACTTCTTTAATTTGCAAACATGGATGCCACTTCGTGCGTTTCCAGCCATTTTGCAATTAAATTACATTTTGCAGCAATGTCGGCAGACATCTTTGAACCAAGGACCCATCCACTGAAACCCAAACTGTAAGGGCTCTGAACACCTAAGGGAAGAAGAATTTTCCTACTGAGGCTTAAATTAATATCAGAGAAAAACTTGTGTGTTGTTTATTGACCGCATAACCACATAACATTGCAGTTACTATGAAATTACTAAACAATAAAGCAGAACCTGAGGACATTTTTCCTCCACAGTATTTTTCAACTAGCATTGCCTAGTCACCCGACCACCTACAAGACCCTCTGGAGACCCAGAAGGTTATTTATTTTTTACCACTGAGTGAGGTGGAGGACAACAGTCATGAAACTCGAGAGAACACACACTGTAGGGAGGGCAGGCTGTAGAGGAGGGTCAACAGGCTAGAGGGGAACAGGAGGTGAGAGGAAATATAATAATGATAAACTGATTTCCGGCCACAGCGCCCATCGCCTCGTCTCTGGGGGACCTTTCCACCTTGTCATGTCCAAAGACCTTGCATGATACAGGAGATAGCAAAAACGTGTGTGCATGCATGTTTGCGCGCACATTTCTAATTTATTGGCCCACTGATTTGCTGATGTGTGTGGGGGCTGCATGCAGCTCAAAGCACTAGCCTGGAACATCCGGGTCTTGCTTCATTAGGTGCTCACGCCCTTAAGCTGCTGACATTTCCAAACTTGTTCCCCAGCCTTTTAATTGTCGTGAAAAATTGGACACAGCGACCAACATTGAGAAGCTGCGTGGTAGATCTCGAGTTGATGGCATTTCTCGTGTCCGAGTGTCACTTACCTCGCTGCTTGAATGTGGAACGCAAAAACGCGTTTGTCTGTCCTGGAAAATTAGGACTACTGTCCCTAACTGATGGAGGAAATGAGTCTGAACTATTCATTCTCCTCATTTGCAAAACAAAAATCATCACCCACAACAAATAGGTCTGACTTTATTGGTGCAAGACAAATTTCTGATATGACAAAAATCTGCCATAATATGTATATAAATATAAAAAAACACAGAATGAAATACATAGGAACTTTATTAAGGTTAACAATAAAGTTTTATCCATATAGCAATTGTACATTCTATACCATATGTGCATATAACATATCAGAAGTTGATATACAGCTATAATAATCAAACAACTTTTTCAAATAACAACCTATAATAGCTAGATTTCGGATTATTTATAATACACATTCACTTTTTGTTACTCACTGCCGCTCAGACAAACATATTCCCTCACAAATACACACAGTGACAAATCAATTAACAGAGCATGGAAATCCATTCTCGCCCTAATTACAAATGTCCCTGCTAAATGTCAACACAAAGTTATTACATTATTGTGGAACACACATCATAGTTTAAAATATGTTTCAGCATAAAAGTTCAAATTAAATAAATACTGACAAAAATGCAAAGACAGTATTTGGTGAAGATTACAGAATGATCAAAACCCAATATCACACTTAAGTTACACGTTTGTTTTTTTTTACTGTATGTGCATTATAGACTTATTTCCAGTGAATTAACTGACTAAAGAGGAGATAAAGCATCACACCAGTAATACGTCCATGTCTACAGTATTTCATGTGCAAAACGTATTGCCAGTTTTATTATGTAAACACTGTCAGCGAAAATTATCTCATGGCAGCACCCCTGAGGTTCTCTATACCCTACCCCACATATTCCGTAAGTATGTAAGCATTACTTAGGTCAGGACCCAGGCTCCTGCATGAATTATTTTATCTTGAGGGAGTCTAGGGCTCTGGCATTTCACGTAACTGTCCAGCCACTCTCGTTGGGCAGCCACAGCACTCTAGGCTTTGCCATGGGAAGAACTAGTGTAATAACCATGCTAGGGTGGAGGCTGTAAAGGGTTGACAATGCCCCATCGGCTGGATCTGGCACACACCATGTCAGATGAAATTGGGATCCCGGGTTCTGACTAGGCTTGGGCTGTGTCAAGATTACGGTATATCAGGGTATTTACACTTTCAATACCGTCAAAAATACAGACGCTCCTCTTTCTATTAAACTGAGATATTGTATTGAGGTCATGTATTGGATGCCTTAAAAGTAGGTGATATAGTGTGAAACTGCCTTACATCTTTAACGTGACTTTTCCAACACTTTTCCAGAGGTTGGTAAACAGACAAACACAGCTTTAGCTGCAGCCTTTATTCGCTGACAAACCGTAACCTACACTGTGCATTTACAACAACTTCACTGCTCACCATTTCCTCTTCTCCCTGTGCCTTCTTGCTCAACCACACACTCACTACACACACAAAATGGAACTACTCAACAGCGACCGCCATATACATCATATACACCGGTGAAATGTCAGGAAGGTACTACCCAAACCTAGTTTTTACTGAGGGTGAAGACTTCCCGGGGGCCCTACCGTTTTGATAATGAAGAGGTGGGCCAGTCTGTTTTAGCAGGCAGTGGCCCAGAGTCAATTTGACCATGCACAAATGCTGGCCATCTACATAGACCTGACCAGCAATGGGTTTCAAATGGTTTAACAAACTCTTTTAGCACCAGTTCCTCAGATCAGGAAGCAGCAGCACAGACAAACTGGTAATTTATATTTTCATATTTACATTAGATTACTGAGAATTGGACAGTTAGCAATCACTAAACAGGAAAGTGGATGGGTATGTTCATGATCATGTAACAATTACTGCAAACAGTCACTCTCAGATATGTTTAATTCCCTCTCATATATTGAGGCTGTGTATACTTCAGCATTCTCTGTGGCTTGTGAGGATTGTGTATTTTTGTACAAGATTCACAATCCCCTGAGGATGAAGCCCACAGACTTTTTATTTTTTTTACAAAATACTTGACAAACTAGTCAGCTTCAGCAGTCTCTTGTATTTAGTGCTAATTAGCAAATGTTAGCGTGCTAACACACTAAAGTAAGATGGTGAAAACAGTAAACATTATACCTGCTTAGCATCAGCATATTAGCTGACAATAGGCTTTTGGTCTTGTTTGCTTGTTAAATGACTTGACTATAAATCAAACGTCAAAATGACTGTTCATTGACAGAAAGAACGAATGAGTGTTGTGTTCCCATCCATCAATATATCCGTTAAAATGAGTGGAAGCTCAGAAAATTGGAAAAAAAACTAGACTATTGCAAAAAAGTTTTTACTCTTGTTTGAGGTGGAAAGGTTGATGTATCGGTAAACGCAAAATGCAATGAAGTCCAGTGGAAACAGACTCCGGGAAGAAATCATGATATACGTGAAGCATGGGACTTCCGCTCCACTGAAGAGACTAAAATAGTGTCAGGCGAAAACCTTTCTCAAATAAATACACAGTTTGCATTGTTTTCCACTGTTCACGGTTTGAATGGCACTCACACGTTTCATCGTCTCCTTGCGCTCTCTTCTTCTGCAATGATTTAATGGCACCTGATAGGAGAATTACATTAAAGTTTCTGCGTTCTCCGGCAAGGGATTTCTCTGGGCTCCGTTCTTCTCTTTAGCCTCAGGCTCAGTTCGTTCCATCGCTGCCTCGGGGGTCTGGTTCATCCCTGTCTCTGAGACGCTCACCTGGTCCTGGTTCTCTATGCTTTTTTGGTTCTGCTCTGTGTCCTTTGCTTTTTCCTGCATGTGGTAGTTGAAGATGTTCATGACGAAGAGAAAGACCCCGCCCGTCACGATCACTGAGCCACACATGAAGAAAAGGTACTTGTAGTCACCAAAGATGTCAACCAGTAACCCTGTTCGGAGACGGGCAGAAAGATGCAAAGACATTATATTTCAAACTAAGCCGGTGTCAGTTCTACCCATTATATGCCATACCATGTCTATACAAACAAGACAAGACAAGCAAAACACAATATGTCACTGAATAATATCTTCATTTGACCACTATAAATTTGAAGGTGAACAGCAAGACCAAACTCAGATTTGACTGTGTGTGTGTGTGTGTGTGTGTGTGTGTGTGTGTGTGTGTGTGTGTGTGCTCGCGCAAGAGAGTTAGGGTGAGCGTGGGCCAACTTGAGAAGAGCCATGTCGGAAATGACAGAGGGCCATTACACCCTTCCTGGCGCTCCCTGCATCTCTGGGAAGGCAATTTGGACGGCTGCTACCAAAACGAATCAGAAGAGAGGCCCATTCTCAGAGCCATAAATATCGAGCCCAGTTCTGGAGAAAAGTGACAAATGTAGTTTAGATCAGATTTAAGCCTCCAGGTTTTCAGAGTCTCAACCGCACCCCGACCCCCCTGACTTCAGACACGGATCGATGGCCAAGTGTCGCTATCTCTCTCAGTCTCCGCATGTATGACAGTCTGTCTGCCTGTCTATCTATCAATCCCGCCTTTATACCATTTTAGAGCCTTATTGAATCAATGGAAGTGCGATTAATTTTCAGAAGGAAGGTGTTTACTTAACGGTCCTCAAAGTCACCTAAATTATCAAACACACTTTCAACTAAATTCAGTAAAAGGGCAGAGAGATATTTGATCCTTTTTCTCAGCATCATCAATAACAATCATATATACTTAAAAGGATTTAACCGTTTGCTTATTATCACCAAACTCAGGAGTGTTTCTAACAACCTGGTTCTGTTTTTTTCCCTTTCCAACCTTCAACAAATCTTTGGCTGTGACTGGCTGGCCCCATTACTTGTTACAGATTTGGTAGCCACCTTTATTGCACCAATTACCATCTTTAAGATAAACAATGATAATAATAATGTTCGTATGTGTGTGTGTGTGTGTGTGTGTGTGCATATACACTTGGAGGGGTCACTTTGCATTTGGATCAGATTCAGCTGTCTCAATGCAGGCTGTGTCGTCTGATTGATAGCACTCATCTGGTACGTGGACGCCAATGACCATCACCCTCATTAAGACGGTCCTTGATTGGCTGAGCGGTGATTAGGTCCATCTGGCATAGTCACCTCTTTTATTTTTTTAATGTATTCACAGCTTAATTATGGCCCAGGTACAGGACTTCAATGATGAGAGTTTGAACTGAGCGTCATTAAACACCCAAAGCAAAAGGCTAATTACAACCACTTACCTCACTTCCTCCTAATTGGATTGACCCGGAGGTTTGGAGGAGCAGTAACAAGCAGACTAGTTAGGGGAGACTGTTAGACGTGCGGGAGGCACTTATTTACCCTATTAAATGAGCGCCTCAGAACAGGGTCGCACCAGACAAACTTGGGGGGCCTATAAATTTTCACCTCATTAAAACTCAGGTTGGAGGCAAATGTAAAGTTTGTCAATGGGACGATATGCACAGCTGATTAAGTCCTGTTCCGCTACAGCACTGTACGTCCTCAGCATAAACAGGCCTTTCTAAGTGAACTTGAACGGTTACATATTGATGGGTGCACAAGCTGAGCAATGACTAAGAGTAATATTTTTTTATTCTGTGTCTGGCAGTTTTAAAGCACATCACTTACAATACTAGCATTATGGTTAAGAAAGTTACTCTGTGTGCTATTCAACGGACTGAAACTACAAGTACTGTTCGTGTTGCAAGATTTGAGTGGGAGATGGCGTGTGTGGTTAATGTAATGACTAACAATATTCCTCACATGGGCTAAACAGAGCCTTATTCTGTGACTGTGAACAAATATGTTTTCCAACAAGTTGGAGTACAACTTAAAAGTTCACAGCTGTTTGTTAATTAGTGTGACATCAGCAAACTTCACGTCCTACTGTAGGGTACATTTGACTATGGTATGATATAGAGTATCCTGATCGCAACCTGTTAAAGAATATTCTTAGGTGTCTTAATTGATCTAACAGGGGAAGGTAAGACAGGTCTAGCTTAAGAGTCAATTAGCTGACCCCACAAATGTTCACTGACTTTCCAGTTCTAGTTATTTCTCACATGTAACTGTCCTTATTAGGGAGACAACAGTTAGACTGATAAGGTAGAGACAGTAGCTCAGGCATCATCAGCTAGCAGATATCGGTGTTGTCTGGGAATCTTCCAAGGTTGAGTCTCACAAGAATGTCTACAAGAACTCACTGGCTCCACAGATTAGAGCAACTCAGGGATAGAATAGATTCTAATATGACGCAGAATTGGAGTGTAAACATCAGATAGATTAGTTGTTCTAGGTTAAGGCCAACTAAAGATGACCTAATAGGGAAACCTACAGGCACTAGGGGGAAAAGAGAAACTTAAAAGGGACCAAAAGATTTTATGCTTCAGATTTGGTGCTAGCATTCGATATGTTCACATCTTGTATGCTAGCACTGTATCTCTTCAGCCGGGCTCAATAAACCATGCTATGTTAAGTCTTCATTTGTCTGAAACTGGGGAAAATGTCTGGTATGGTTTTCCAGAGCCCAAGTTGATTTTTTTTTTTTTTTGTCTGACCAACAATCCAAAAAGACATTCAGTCTACATTTATATAAAACAGAGATGAGCAGCAAATCCTTACAATTGAAAAGCTGGAATTAGGGAATTTGGGGTATTTTTTGATATTTTTTCTTGAAAAAGAAAAAATATATTATCAAAATAATTGCTGATACATTTTCTATTGGTCGACTAGTCAATGTCTTTGACATGTGAAAAATTTATTTAGACTGTAAAAAGATTACTGCATGCGTTACACAGCATGCGTGCAGCACAGTGAAAAATTGTCTTTAGTATAATTTCACAACAATGTAGTTACCTCAGCAGTAAGCATGAATAGATTTACATACTGGAACAACTTATTTCCTGCCAGCCGCTTTGGCAGCTGTTACAGGCTCTAGTGCCAGCAGCAAGGCCTCAATTCCTATTAGTCTTATCGATGACAAATTGTCACTCAAAAACCATTTTCCCCAATGGCTCCTTTATCAGAGAGTATTACTGTCATTAGGTTTCACACTTCTGTTTTTACTGAATCAAGAGAAGAATGTTTTATTGTGGATGCACTAATCTTGACAATGCCAAGAAAGCTGAGAGGATAAACAATATCCTTTTGATTACACAGTTATTTAGACCATGAAGGTAGCTGTCCAACACTTCAATCTAAAGCTCTATCAGAGACAGACGCATTGCTGGAGACACAAGTCATCAGATCAAAAGGAGCTTTTTCTTGTATTTGATGGGTTGGTAAACAGAAAGAGTCCAAAAGTTGTAGTTTGATGCTGACAAATAAAAACAAATACAGTGAGACCAACCCATGACACGAATACCCACTGACAACATATATGAAAGGGAGTCACTTAATTTATGGATTAATACCGTCTTAAATATTCATGTTGAACGTTTGGGAGGGGAGAATCCTAAACAGATTTCGCCTAGGGCTCTAAAAACGCTCTGTGCTGGTGTTACAGAAACTTGTAAACAAGTAAACAAACATGTGCTGTTAGCCTACATCATGTCATGGGCAGAATGTTCCACTGAAGTGACATTTGCAGGTACGTTTACATGCTGTTCTATGTTCTGCAGCTGAGCGGCTCATTAGATATCTAGCGTGCAGTGCACTCGTTCACAAAGCTACGGTGCAGGACAAGATGTGCGTTTCATGTTTGCAAGTTAGATAAGAAGGAGACCTCAGCAGGAAAGCTAATGTGGGCTGTTCAAAGTCTGAGGCTAGTGTGTTGTGTTGTGAAACGCTGACGTTACTACTTGATGTAAGATTTAATTGGCTGTATTGAAATTAGGTCTCTATATACATAGACAACAGTATTCCATCTAAATAATAGGTGGACTTCAGTAGTAAAGTAATCAAGTGAACTGTAAATCCATGGATACACAGCAAACAGAAATTGCTTATAGCTAACTTGGCAATCTTAAAGATGCCAATTTGCCACGCAGTTGTCTGTATTTTTATCCAAAGGGGGACCCACAGTCAGACTTTGAAAATCCCTGGTTTGGAGTGACAAAATTGGTGATTATCAACCCAACTTCAGCCTGGCGTCTACGGTTTTCCCCTTCACAACATTGCGATTTCTGACAAAGCTGAGAGCTATCTATATATAAGCAAGGTGGTGTGACTCCACTACTAAATTTACCAGATCCAATGATGGCACAGGACACACAGGCTGGAAGTAACATTGGGGAACTTCTGTGAGACTATTTTTAATTTTGTCTGTTGTTTCTTTAATGCAATATCACTCAACATTTTGTGTCACAGACAGAAAAGACATCTCTTCAGTCCCTGCCCCTTCCCTCTCACCCCTACACTCACTATATAGTATATACAGTAGATTGTTATTGATTCCTTGCCACCCTCTAGGCATTAAACTTCATGTTCATCATTGTTTTAGCCTGATAATCAGACCAAACTGGTGCATTTCACTCTATTCATTCATATACATGAATCCTGAGTTTGTGGGGAGCATTTTGGCAGCCACTGCCTGATGTAAATCACAGCACCAGTAAACAGTAAGCCTTTTACAGTTTGTTAACACCACATCTTTATTTATAGGGCCATAGCACTGGAGTATGATCCTTTAAGAGGTGGTATTATGCTCATTTTCAGGTTTAAAATCCTTTTTAGGGGTTGTACCAGAACAGGCTTACATGGTTTAATTTTCAAAAAACACTATATTTTTTCATACTGCACATTGCTGCAGCTCCTCTTTTCACCTTGTGTTGAACGCTTCCTTTTAGCAATGGAGTGATTCATCTTGTCTCTAAATGATCTTTGTTGGGAGTTGCACGTGCGCAGTTCCTAGTTAAGGACTACTAGCCAATCAGAAGCAGAGAAGGGCAGGTCAGCGAGAAGCCCGTAAACAACTTCTATTCAGCTATAGGCCACATGTTGCCAACTAGCTTGGCAACATACAGGTGCTGGTCATGTAATTAGAATATCATCAAAAAGTTGATTTATTTCAGTAATTCCATTCAAAAAGTGAAACTTGGATATTATATTCATTCATTCCACACAGACTGATATATTTCAAATGTTTATTTCATTTAATTGTGATGATTAAAACTGACAACTAATGAAAATCCCAAATTCAGTATCTCTGAAAATTAGAATATTACTTAAGACCAATACAAAAAAAAGGATTTTTAGAAATGTTGGCCAACTGAAAAGTATGAAGATGGAAAGTATGAGCATGTACAGCACTCAATACTTAGTTGGGGCTCCTTCTGCCTGAATTACTGCAGCAATGCGGCGTGGCATGGAGTCGATCAGTCTGTGGCACTGCTCAGGTGTTATGAGGGCCCAGGTTGCTCTGATAGTGGCCTTCATCTCTTCTGCATTGTTGGGTCTGGCCTATCGCATCTTCCTCTTCACAATAGCCCATAGATTTTCTATAGGGTTAAGGTCAGGCGAGTTTACTGGCCAATTAAGAACAGGAAATACCACGGTCCTTAAACCAGGTACTGGTAGCTTTGGCACTGTGTGCAGGTGCCAAGTCCTGTTGGAAAATGAAATCTGCATCTCCATAAAGTTGGTCAGCAGCAGGAAGCATGAAGTGCTCTAAAACTTCCTGGTAGACGGCTGCGTTGACCTTGGACCTCAGAAAACACAGTGGACCAACACCAGCAGATGACATGGCACCCCAAACCATCACTGACTGTGGAAACTTTACACTGGACTTCAAGCAACGTGGATTCTGTGCCTCTCCTCTCTTCCTCCAGACTCTGGGACCTTGATTTCCAAAGGAAATGCAAAATTTACTTTCATCAGAGAACATAACTTTGGACCACTCAGCAGCAGTCCAGTCCTTTTTGTCTTTAGCCCAGGCGAGACGCTTCTGACGCTATGTCTTGTTCAAGACTGGCTTGACACAAGGAATGGGACAGCTGAAACCCATGTCTTGCATACGTCTGTGCGTGGTGGTTCTTGAAGCACTGACTCCAGCTGCAGTCCACTCTTTGTGAATCTCCCCCACATTTTTGAATGGGTTTTGTTTCACAGTCCTCTCCAGGGTGCAGTTTTCCCTACTGCTTGTACACTTTTTTCTACCACATCTTTCCTTCCCTTCGCCTCTCTATTAATGTGCTTGGACACAGAGCTCTGTGAACAGCCAGCCTCTTTAGCAATGACCTGTTGTGTCTTGCCCTCCTTGTGCAAGGTGTCAATGGTCGTCTTTTGGACAGCTGTCAAGTTAGCTGTCTTCCCCATGATTGTGTAGCCTACAGAACTAGACTGAGAGACCATTTAAAGGCCTTTGCAGGTGTTTGAGTTAATTAGCTGATTAGAGTGGCACCAGGTGTCTTCAATATTGAACCTTTTCACAATATTCTTACTGATTTTGGGGTTTTCATTAGTTGTCAGTTATAATCATCAAAATTAAAAGGAATGAACACTTGAAATATATCAGTCTGTATGGAATGAATGTATACATTATACAAGTTTCACTTTTTGAGTGGAATTACTGAAATAAATCAACTTTTTGATGATATTCTAATTATATGACCAGCACCTGTAGACTGGAGCAAGAATTTCAGAGTGGTGAGTTATTAATCTGTAACAAAAATATCTTTAATCCATAAAGTTTTAACTGAGCTCTGTCTCTACATCACAGTAACAACTTTATGTCCATTGACTGCCTGGAGGGTAGCTAATGTTTGAAAGGGAGAGGAGAGGTGTGTGCTGCAGCTCAGTGTTTTTCCACTGGTGTTTTTGAGGGCGTGTCAGACTAGCCGCTTGGCGAGCGTTATATGAGGCACATTTAGTTTTCGGAAACGGCTGGACTACAAATGAGCTGTTTTCAAGTAGTATGTGATTCTGCTGCCCTTTTGACAGTACAGCGTACTGATGTAGCAGCATATTGTACCATTCGTGCACCCCAAAACAGCCTAATTCACAAGTGATAATCCTACTCTGTCTTTCTATAATGACCCCCTAGCGGGCAACTGAACTCTACTGCAACATAATGCACAGCCCATGACTAAAACAGAGACGAAACACACGAAGGGAGAAAGAAAGAAGTTCTATTTTGTAATGCGGTTTACTGTATTGTTTGCAAAATAGTTTGCTCCAAACTGGCTGTTTATTTCTGCTGTAGCAATGGTAATAGTTTTTTTTTTCCCCCCCAAGTGTGTTTGCAGACGTACAATATTCGCTTCCTCTTCAGTGGCAGAAAGGAGCAGCATAAAGCAATCTAAAGTGAGCTGAAAGTAAACACTTGTGCCTATGCCTGGCTTATCAAATTGAACAATCCAGGTAAACATGGAAATGTGCTTTGCTGAGAGGTCTTGCTTTTTCAGTGAGTCACACTGATTCTGTTAGGTCTTTAAATGGATAGTTTATGGTCAGTGTGCACACTTACCTGCAGCAGGTGGTCCAAGTAGCATGGGGAAGCACTCGATGATGGTGACCAATCCAACAGCACTGGGGAAGCGTTGAGTTCCCATCAGGTCCATCAGACATTCAAATATCAGTGCGAAAACCATGCCGAAACCCACGCCAGAAAATACCGTGTAGACCACCAGGAAGGCATAGCTCTTTATCAGTGGGCACAGCAGGTGGCACATGCCATTAAAAACCATGGCAAAGCTGAAGAAGTACTGTATTCTGGGCCTGATCCACTTGCTGTTGGCTAGCAGGCCGGTGCCAGGACGAACAAACATGTCCACAAAGCCCATAATAGAGAGCAGATAGGCTGCGGAGTACTCCTCTATGCCTTGCTTAATAGCATATGTTAACAGGAACAAAATGGGCGCATAGGCACCGAAGATGAACATGACGTTCCCAATGAGGTAGATGATGAAGCCTCTATCCTTGAAGAAGGACAAATCCAAGAACTTCTTCATACAGCTTCCTTTTAACTTAGTGTTGCAGTTATTTGGCTGCTCCTCCACTTTTTCTTGCGGTGCACGAAGTGTTGGCTTACAAGGCAGAATAACAGGCCTCATCAGGGCCCCAGCAACGCAGCAATTGAGCATCAGACCCCCGAGGATGAGGAGACTTCCTCTCCAACCAAACCTTACCAGTAAATATTGGTTGACAGGGGCCAGGCAACATAGAAACACTGGACTCCCGGCCATTGCCAGTCCATTGGCTAAAGGCCGCTTGGCAAGGAAATACTTGCTGATGATGGTGAGAGATGCATTGAGGTTTAAGGAGAGTCCACAACCTGTATGTAGACAGATAAAAAAAAACATTTCACATTTCAAAAATCCTCAATAATAAACCCTTCCTGAAACTACACTCCAAAGGGCACTCACTGTTGGAATTATTTCAGAAATAGTTTATCAATTTAAGTAGAAATAAATTAGAGAGCCTGGTTAATGCATTCAATTGTTGCCTTTTTACCCCAAAATTCTATTTAATAGCACCTAATTTTCCACGAAGAGCCACAGGTAAATAGTTAGGGTGCTATTCTCCCTTTCCAAAGTAAATTTAATTGTCTTCTCTGGTTCCATAATGAAGCTGGAGGAAAAGGGTTTTCTCAGAATAGGTCCAAACAGGATTACTATATGATGATTTACAGAGTAAATTCTATTTCAGCAAAAATTTTCCAGCAATAAAAAGGGAACAGCAACCTTGATTTTACAGTCTCTCTCTCTCTCTATACACACACACACACACACTTAACACAGAAATTGAACATTGTTGCAATACAGATTTAAAAAAGAAAGACAATTCACAAAATGTGGCATTCATTACTGCAAGTAGCAATTCAGCGAGTAATTAATAGATAATATTATTGATTTTTCAACATCTTTGGTCATCCAAACATCAAGCATCAAAAGTGGCATGTTGTTATATATTTGGCTGATCATTTCTTAATTTAATAGGGAAGGCATGGAGGGATATCGAAAACAAATTAAATGAATAAAGAGATACTGAAATGTTAATGAGTAAAATGGATGAAATGTAAAGAAAATGTGTTATTAAAAATGAATTTACAAAATTAGCTTTAAATTAAATTTAAAGTATGTTAACTTCTGAATGACATTTGGTTTAATTTAGTCTTGTTAAAGGAATACTCCACTGTTTTTCAACCTTATCTCCATGTCTTTGCTGGTAGGAGTGATAATCAATACATGGTATAAAGTTCATCAACACTCTCTATGTTGCCAAGGCACCCGACCAGAGCACCTCAGATTGTCCACAAGTTGATGCAATCATGTGGACATCAAAAACTACAGCAACTTCCCCCTCTGCTCCCAAAAACAATGGCCACAGGCCCAATTATAGACAAATTGGATAAACTGATACATGGTGCTAGAACACACACCTCACAGTTTTGCTCAGCTTTGAGCAAACTCAACTGTCTTTTGTTTTTATATTTTGTGCCTGTTTTCTCACAATCTTTGTCCACTGCTGATGTCACTATTGACCTGGCCATGCACGACAAGGCATGCAATCCATCGCCTTCCAGGCTGGCACCCTAAATAACCAGCAGGACTTGCTAGAGCAGTGACCCTCACCAGTGTCCATCCAGCAAACTGTCCATTGTCCACAACCTGGGAGTTTGAACCCTGGATTTGTGTGGTAACAAAAAATGATGAAACTGCCCAATCCCCTGCACACTGTCACTTTTGCACTGCACAGCTGACAAGTTTTTCACCATTTGATGGCTATTGTAACTGCTCTAAACATCCTACATCTGAAACAATTGATCACTTGAGCACTTCTTGTCCCACATAATCAACAATGTGAACTTTTAAGATCTTGAACATCCAATATGCTGACCTCTATGCTTTATATATGATTCCACAGCTGCTTTTCTGCTACCTTGTATTGTGACCTGGATTGTTCATGCCTACCTCAAAATGACAGCCCCTCCCAAATAAAGGTGCAGAGGGACAACAAGGAATCTGGGCAAGGAGCTGTATATAAAAGGATAAGTACTTACTTAAAGCCACTCACTGAGTCTGGAGTGTTTTTCAACTAATTTGTTATCTTTCTGGTGAAGTGTGTGCATTTGTGCATGCATGTGTGTAAGGATATGTCTGCATGTCTGTTATGTCTGCTAGGTGAGCCAGGGCACAGGGGAGCAGAGCAGGGCACACACATGCCCTCAGGCACCACACATGGCCTGGCCCCTTGCTGGGCCTATTAATCCTTCACAGCAGTCCTTGGCAGGGTAATGAGCCTCGCAGGGTGGCAGAGATCCCCCTTGTGACGACTATGATGGGAGCCTACGGGAAGTACAGAGGGCCACGAAAGACCATGCTCCATGGGATCAGGGACGGTTCTGTCTTAATTACTGTCCTGATCCCGGTCCCCTTGGTGCTCTAACTGTGCCCCAGGAGCTAAGGTAGATGCCCTGAGCCCCGACAAACAGCATGGCAGCCTAGTCAAGGGAATTTATAAACAGTGCGTACGTACAAAACAGGGCTGGAAACGTGCGTACGCCACTTCCCAAGCAAATGTTGTGATCTATAAAAAAACAAACTTGGCGGGGAAATGTGCATCCTGTAAGTAAACTCTGAACCATGCGTACGCACATAAAGAGGAGAAATGAGAAACGGCGACTCACACGGCAGAAGGATGAAACTGTTTGAAATGAATAGGCCTACTACTGTGTAAAATAAATCGAAATATTACCTCTGAATAGTATAGGCCTTTCTAAATATTCAGACACTCGTTTGACTGATTTTCCCTGAAGTGCACAATAAAGAAACACAATTTAAGACCATTTGCGGCGCACAAAAAGAACCATGATTGAGGACAATAAACACAAACAGAGGTATCTGTTTCTGCAAAAGAACACCTCAAATCTGCTGGACAGTTTCAACAGGAATCATATTAATTAATACTTGCATGCAGTGCAATTTATTCTCATAAATAAAGTGAACAGGAGGACAAATTAAATTTAAATTGATGCCGTTTTCAGTGCGTTAGTCAGTCGAGCGAATAGGAGAGCATAGTTTCATGTATTGTTATCACATGTGCACCAATTGAATTATTGAAAAATGACAGTCACAGTCATATTTCTTTTAACTCATCGCCAGCGTTGTGTTTGTGTAGCCTAAATAAATGTTTAAACACAAGCGGAATGCATTTGGTTGACTGCTTGGCTCCGGTGCCCCCTTTCCTCGGGTGCACAAGCGTTGCATGAAAGTGCGTTTTTTTACCCACCAAACAACATGCTTCAGCTTCACCAAAAGGTTAAATCTTGTTTTGTAGCTTTTCTGTCAGAATTTACCTCCTTTTCTTCATGCAGTCAGGACGTATTAATATGAGTGAATGAGGGGCGTTTCACTGACCATTTATAGGCAACTATGGGCGTTTGAAAGGTTGGACATGGAGCTCCTTCACATGCGCCACATTTCAAGTTTATTGTAATTTACACACACTTGTAACCAAGTCTGAATATTTTTTGGCGTACGACATTTTTGGCTTTTGAACGCACGTTTACTTTTAGTGAGGTTTCTACGCACAGTTTTATAAATGAGAACCCTGGTAACCCAAAGATTTGGAAGGGATGTTGCAGCCGTTTCCTACCACAGAGGGGCATAGCCAGGGCTGATGGGAATGGCAAACAGGGAGGTAAACACGTTTGGGATCCATATTATTAAATGAGTTGGCTTAGTCATGTGTTGAAAATACACTTTGTCTTGGTTTTTGGCTGAGATTAACTAAATGTCTCTGGATTCCTGATGCTGGTAAGTAACAAAATCTATCAACCTGGCTAGAGCTTTTTCCAGGTAGCCTTGTATATGTATAGTGCCTTTCTTGTCTTTGCAACCACTCAAAGCGCTTTTACACTACATCACAATCACACACTGAGCCTAAAGCTGATGATACACGGGGCAACTTTTTGAGCAATGTTGCTGGGCAATGTTGCTTGTGGCAAGTCCGATGATGTTTTGAACGGATAGCGGCGGGGCGGGGCGGGGCGGCTGGCAGAGTGCTGGGGGAAGAAAATTACGGTAGTAATCTTTACTCATTACTAGTGACGGCAACATTGCCCTGCACGATTGCTCTAAAAGTTGCTCTGTGTATCATCAGCTTTAGTGCTCAAACAGAAACTAACATTGACACACATTCGACATGCAACCTGGAGGAGCCGGGGATTGAACCACTGACCTTCTGATTAACAGGCAACCCTCTCTGCCGCCTGAGCCACAGCCACCCCTTGTCATAAGATAATGTAAAAAAACAAAACAAAGTAGTACATTACCTCCAATGACGCCAATGCAAAAGTAGAGGTACATGATGGAGCTCCCAAACGAAGCAGCTACCATAGAGACCCCACACATCAGTCCACCCAGTATGACTACAGGCCGGCTTCCAAAGCGACAGACCAACACACTGCTCACTGGTCCTGCAAAGAGGAGGAGGCAGACAAAGAGAAAGACAGAGAGAACAGTTCAGAATGATCATATGTTACATCTCAACATGAACAGTTTGTAGTTAGTTAGTAATTAACTCACCTACTGTTAATGATCAAGGTTTCACACAACAGCACCGGTTCTCACTCTAGGTCTGAACCAAGGGCAAAAGGACATCACAGCGGGTGATGGAACACCTCCACACTTTTGCGTCCACTGCAAAGCAACTTGGCGACTCATTATACTCTCCCCTGATAATGTCAAATACTACACTCAGTGATCAATCAGCAATTAAACAGCCTTTTATATGCTGTCACTCTTCCCTTCATTCATAACCTTGCCTGAAAGAGTGACATTGCCCCACTAGTCCTTCTGTAGCATGCCATACTTCTTGGTATAAAGAGAGAGACCAATCATTTGAATATATATTTATTTTACTCACTTCATATAGAAAAATGGGGAGCACATCAATCAAACTAAGGGCTGCCATTATTACTGAAACATGCTGCAGCTTTTCAAGGCAGTGGTGGGAAGGGCCTTAGTGTGGATGGTGAAAAAAGCGCAGTGAGCAGTTTTACATGTTTGGCAAACATCTACTGTCTTCAAGAGCAAGTTTAATATGGCTGAGGATTAATTTCTCAGTGCATAGTGGGAAAAAATATGCAAGGGGGAAAGTATGTCGTTTTAAACGTTCTTGTTGTGTGGATATATTTGTATATTAATGCTTGTTATGACCAGTCATTAAGAATTTGTAGGACCACAAACTTCTTGTCATTCTCTTAATCAAATGTTAATTTACCACCTTCATATGTGGATCGTACTGTACTGAAGCCAAAACATAATTTTTTTCATTACGGAATCTAAAGATGCTTTTCTACAAACCCTTCTTCTTTGTTGTAGAAAACCTTTTAATGCAGCACTGCAATACAGTTTTTCGGTCGCTTTGAGGCAGAATTCTGCAGTCTCCGTTCATTCAACTTACACGGTAAATTTCCAGCTAAACCGAGGGCGGGTCTATTTCAAGTAGCCGGCTATTTAAAAACTATTTTATATTTTTTGTGTGGTTCATCAACGGTGATAAATTATCCGAAAGTCCCGCGATGTGCGGACAACTCGTCACAACACCAGTGAAGCTGGAGCTCGGTCTCCTCAGCATGTTCCTCTGCTGCCACTGCACACATACACGCTACGCCTCCACATGCGCAATGATGACCCAGGGTTAGGATTACAATTTTGGATTTACTCATGCACTTTAAAAACATCTGTTAAAAGTTTTATTCTTTTCACATGTTTATTTACAGCATTAAATGTTGAAATGTATATTTTATAGGCTGTATATTAACTTATTGGGAGAAAACTGGTAGTTCTATGTAAAATCAGACGTTGAGCACCCCCATATTGGCAAAATGGTGTGATCCTCGTTTCGCTGCAAAGCTTCGACTGTGAGATTGACATTCGATCGAGCTCCGCCCATTGAAGCACTGAATCTTTGACTATTGGGGGTCAGCCCTAAATCTCACCTATGACCACAAGCTAGTGTGCTAACGTTGTCTGTCTGTATTAAACAAGTAGCGTACACTGTCATCACAGCAATATCGCTGAGAACAGCTGCATGCTGTGACTGAAAACAAGGTTGATGAGAGCTGATAAAAGCAGTAAAGTTGTGAGCTGTAAAATCAAAAAATCATGAGCTGGAAGATGCTAAAACACTAGCCTAATGGACCACATTAAACACAGTTTTGACCATCAACAACAGATCTCTCAGGCCTCTATATAGTATATTGGAGCTATCGAGAAGAGTTTCAAAAGCAGGATCACACCTCAATCATTCCACATCCAGCTTTCCTATAAATACCCTCCTAACCCTCTCCTCCTCTTTGGCTCTTGCATTCTGTGCCCCTTTCTGTCCCACCCAACCTACTTCTCTCCTGTGTCTTCCTTTCCTTCCTCCTCTCTGTAGGGTCCTGTCTTGAGTGGGGTCCGTCATGCCCGGGTGGTATGCTGGATTCCCCACCCTTGTTTGGCATTTTTACATGAAAAACGACTTAAACAATGAATCGATTATCAGAATAGTTGACAATATCTTTTCTGTTGATTATCTAATCAATGAATTGCCTAATTGTTTCATCTCTACAGTATAGTCAGGTTTGAGATGAGAATAAAGCAGCACCTAAACTTTTTCGCCAGCTTACTTCTGTTTGATAAGCTGCCAACTTGCTGGGAGATCTCACAGTGAAAGGACTTGCTGACTGTCCATGCACTGATGTCAAAACAGACATCTGAAATATCTCTTTAAAAAGGTCTCCTCGTGTGCTTATGCCATCAACTGTGCACCAACCCCCCCCCCCCCACCCCATATTAATGGTTACGTAGATACACATAGGCATACAGTACGTGCATGTACAAAATGAGTCACAGTCACAACAAGGAGTTCCTCTTTCATTTATCTTCCTCGCTTCACGCTGAGCTGTGAATAATTGTCCTTAACAACTATCTGCTGTACCACTGTAGCAACAGTACATGAAATAAAAATATCCATCCCGCTGTTTATACAGTTAACCAGGTGCCTGCGGGGGTCAAAGACACATATCATCTTTCTCACTGTAGCTGTGTCACAATAGGGCATCTCCAGCGCTACCACCATTTCTACTTCCATTATAACTTCATCATTCGGACTCCTTGAGTCAGAGGTTCTTGGAAAGGGCTGTCATGTCTCTCCCATGGGGACCTGGTTTCAGACCCCAATGTGCTGAACCTTCCTCTGATATATTCCCCCTGTCTCTCTCCTCCACTGGGTGACATTGCTGAAGCCTTGCCAAGGACAATATGATAAAGACCTGTGCATGAGCCACAGTGGAGGGGAATATTTCACCAGTTAGGCCACTCTGAGTTGAGTGCAGGTGAGCCACACACCCTGTACCCTTGAAAACAGCTACTGATAAATTCACGTAAAGCCTCCCCAATATCTTTAATTTGTCATATTTTATGTGTAATGGGGTTTCCAAAGGGTTCCAAACACCTGGAATGACACCAAACACACATTATGTATGTGTATCCTGTGTGGCATGGGCCCAGGTGTAATGTTTTTTTTCTGTTGGGCCCCAACACATGCAGACATTCATTCATTCTGCTAAAATTAGGGTTGAAAATGTTTTTGCAAAGATTCAACCAATGAACCATCAATGATGGTTGATGTAATGTGGATCCAGCAACTCAGAGCTTCCAACTTTTTTCACATAATGTTTGATATCTGTCTACCAGTCATCATAGATCTAGCCATGTAGAGGAAACACAAAAGCAGGAGACACTGAAAGCAACTAATAAAGCTGAGGTTTAAATATGTGAGGTAAGCAGTAGAAATACGCCGTTCCTGTTACAAAGTAAACTACCAGGGATGTGGACTTGCACATTACAGATCGGCCACGTTGCCAGCTGACATTGCATTTAATTCCAGCAAAAGTTGGGTCAGGGCCAGGGACAATTTTTTTGCCGGACAACCTTGTCCTAGTCCCATTCAAAGGAATGTGGAGGCTGTGTTTCTTCATGCATTGCTGTTGTCTGTCTGAACAAGTTCTCAAGGACTCACAAGATTTATCTGGTCAGGATAGGAACAGGAAAGCAGATGAAAAAACTTTTTTTTTTAATTTAGTACTTTTCTATTTTAAAATGTTCACTTTTACAAACAGTACAAATTGTTACCTAATAGAAACTATTAAATATAACATCCTGAGAAGACAACGTCACTGTTTTAAACATGTTCATCCTGTGACAATGGCTTGTTGAGAGTACTAGCGGGCACTGCATGGCTAAGGAGGGTCAAAAGCCAAAAACGAGCCACTTTGCAAGAAGTAGTGCTTCTGGTCACAACTCCTACTTAGTCTGACACTGGTGTTACAGGCCTAACTGCAGATGCACACACTGCGCAGCCAATAGTGATGTTTCTGTACGACAGCGAAAGTTTACTTTGACATCAAACCATGTTCTCATCTCTGCAAAACACTTTAGGATCTTTGATCCTTTAACATCAAATGACTTACATAACTTCTGTATGAATATGTGTTTTACAAGTGAATTTTTAAAAGGAAAAGCAAAACTACTCATAAATGACTGACAGGACTGAGTAAAGAGTTTTAGTGCGGATAGTTACATTTCAGTCAGGAGAGTAACACACACTGACAACATTCCTCTTATTAGGCAGCCTAACACTATTTCAGTGGGTGCAGTAACTCATGTGAAGTCAATTTGTCAATTATCTATCTGGGTCAAATGAGTATACCATACAAAGGTTGTTTTCTTTGTAGAGAAGACAAGATGACAAAAAACTGAAGAACTGTTTTTCATTTGCTCCAAAACTGGAATTTACTTTTAGCCATGATACTTACTGATCAGTACAAACACATAACACTGACTACTTACTCCCTCTCACACAGACAGTCAGCTAGCCGTTAGCTGTAGTCTTTGTGACCTGATCAAGTGCAACTTTTAACAGAAGATGTTTGACGATCTAAAGAGTCTTTGATCAGCAGACCATTATCACTGCTAGTTCTTGAAAGTGAACTTGGTGTGTCAGAGCCCTAAGGGAACACAATACAAAAAGACAGCTCAGTCTGGTAAACCCTGCAGGCAGCCTATTATCTGCGGGCCAATATAAATACATTCTCTACTCGTGTAAAGAGTATTAATTTAAAGGTGTTGACTACAGAACCTGTGCTGGCCTGAGGGTATGAAACCTCACACTACACTGAATTCCAAACAGCTCTGCTGCAACTCTGAATTTAAAGTTTTTGGTATTTATGGTTACCAGGTGGTTTATTGATATAGTGTACTGTATATCTGCTGATATTAGCATATTACAGATATATCAGGTTATATGGGGACTGCTAAGTAACGAGAAATTGCAGTACACCAATGCTAGCAATGTTTAAGGTAGCTTAGAAACAATGGCACCAGTACATAAATTGCCCAACAGAGAAAACTGTTTTCTACTGTAAAATGTCTCACACAGTACATATCTTGGTCACTAGTTTTTAATAAATATTTCAATTTAAGCAGCTAGCACATACAGTATGTAGTCTAAACACGCTTTATTTTTGATTTTATTCTTCTTTCCTTCCCATAAGCTAAAAATCATGACATTTTTACCAGTTAAATTCACTCAAATATGGGGACAATTCTCCTGATAGATGTGCCATAGCAACCTAATCGCGAGAGGACTGGGCAATATTAAAACATAAAATATTATACTGCAAACACTATAGTTCAATCCTTTTTGAATTACTTTGAGGGACATGGACAATATCAACAGCTTATCTGGGCGTTCTATTTTTTCTCTCTATTATGTGAAACATATTTTGAACTGTACTCACCACAAGAGGACCACATTTACTATGAACTGTAAAACATCATAAACTATTGTATCCGGAAACGCAACATGTTGTAGACGTATCGGGAAGTACAACATAGCTGAAAATCAGCTTAAACTGAAAATCACTGTTTTTTTTTTAGGGGGATGTGAATGTGATGAACACAAATGCTGCTGCATGAATGACAACTCTCAACTGAAATAGAGTGAAACCACTGGCAGGAATGTGTACTGCGTCACTCATGTGTGCGCAAGATAAATAGTAATAGTATAAAGCAACTGACCTGTGAAAGATCCCGCAGATGCAACATTTGTTCACAGTGAAATGCAACTGATAATAGTGATTCTTTTCCCACAGAAGCACTGATTGAATCAACTCACCTCCTGCATACATGACAGCTAGCATGATAGAGGAAACCCATGCTATTTCACTGTAGCTGGCCCCTAAGTCCTCTTGGATCTCTTTGAAAAAGATGGAGAGGGTTTTTGGTGTGGAGTAGGCGAAACCAATGGAAATGTGGGCCCCAACCACAACAATCCAGCCCCAGCCACCATCCAGGGGTTTGTAGCCCAACTCATCTGCTCGAGCAGGGGACATGTTCCTGTTCAAGGGGCAGAAAACATCCTCAATCAGGAATCAGGACAAATGTTGTAACTGAGATGAACAAGTACATGTTAAAAATGCTTAATTATGCAACACAGTCAGGCGTGTGCAAAATTGACCGTTTACTTAATGTCAATGAGTAGCCATCTTTGAACATATCAAACCGCCCATTAATTAGCAGGTTTTTAAACACACAGACTAACACTAGACTAAAATATTTACTGTTTTCTGACGCTGTGAAAGGTTTGTTTGCACGAGTCATGCTTGTAAACAGGCAAAGCAATAACTGACCGAGCAATTATTTCAAAGTAAGACGGAAACACAAAATGCTGATTGTCCTTTAATCTTCAGTTATATAGCTACTGAATGTGAATATGCCTGTAATTTACCTGCGCAGACATTATTCACTGGGCTTTTACATGTTTAAGTTTAGTTTTTTTCAGCCCCAACACCGAATACAGAGACGTTAATTAATGAGGCTCCTAACTTTGAAAAAACGGTAACATGTGTTTTATTAATGCAGTATTAACAAGTTATTTGGGTTGGTTGATTAACGATAATCAGCCTGGCAGTTCGCATCAGTAACGGTTGTTATGCAAAATATTTGACACCCATTCGCAAGTAACTTAAAAACTACAACAAATAAGACGCTTCCACTTTTTAACTGAATCCTAACCGCAGCTTTCCCCCCAAAAAAGTCTACAACTGTTGCCCTATAGGTGTTCAACGTCATCATTAAACGAAAAACTCTTTACTCTTCTATTCGGAGAAGTCCGACAGGAGGATACACGTGGACACCACGGCATCAGCGGTTACAACTTTGAGTGCGGTGTTAACCCGGTAACTTTCAAAGCATTAAACACATTAAAGTTCGTACACGTCCTTCATAAAAGTCTCTGTGGTCCTTACCTTTCACTCAATCGCCTTCGCAAACCTGTTTGTCTCAACAAACTTTCAGCCCGCTGCTTTATTGGACGCCTGGTCACGTGTCACGGCGATGGCAGGTTTGACCACTTTCAGGCTCCCGAGCACAAGATCTTTGTCTCCCCTCTCGCTCAGTTCAGCCTATAGGTCGTGCTGCTGTCTGCTGGCGTCACCACAGTCCCGGAACATCCCACACACCTACTGGTTTCTATATTAGTGTTTTAACTTAATGCATGTCTGCCTGTGAATACTGACTGGGGTGTGGATAAAACCAATAGCATGCATATAAAAAAACAACAAGAATAAATGACCAGATTTCACCTTTAATAGTTTTATTTTCAAATTATGTGCAATGTGAATTTCACAGTTGAGCTCAACCACCACTTTAACCCAAAACAGACAAACCAGCGAAGTAAAAGTGAGGGAAACGCACGAAGAACAAAATGGATAGCACCCATAAATGATGCATGTGGAGGACCAGAATGAGCTATGTGCTGCAGCCCCAAGGCCACAGACTGTTGTCCACAGAAAGCAGCTTCTAGCTTGTTGTATTAAATGACTGGTGTTTGAAAACGTGAAGTAACAATGTAGTTATTGATCTGTAATGCTTAGTTTCGGTGAGATGATACAAACAAATACTACTGTACTACAGAGGAGAGAGGTGGGGGGGGATCAAAATGTATCACTCAAGTGGGTAAACATTTTTTTCCTCAACAGAGCAGGATGACTCTACCATAACTAAATAGGTAATTACATAAAAGAAAAGAAAAACAGCCACTGGAGACAACAAAAAGAAAATCACATCTATTTTTTTTTCAAGTTATAAAAGAAACTGAAGATAAGTTTAAAAAACTGTGCAAGTACAGCAACCCTATAGTACAGTATATTACACATAACAAAAACATTTAAATACAGTACTGTGTATCAGTAGAAATCCTGAGTTCTCCGTTCCTGGTTCTCAAATGGCCGTCTGTAGACATGTGGGTGAAGCTCAAAACCTTCTCTCACACTTTATGAGGGCTGTTTTGAGCGCAGTGTTCAAAGCCGGGGGTCAATTAAAAACCAGCTCAGTCAGCAGTGGATCTTCTCTTGGAGAAGTTTTATTATATCCTCAAGTCCTTACTGAATGTGACTCTTCTGGGATTCTCTTCCATGTAAATCTCTTCGATGATTGCTGTGGGGTTACTAAAATCCTTTTTTCCCCCTCTCCTGGACAGAGGGACACTCTTCGTTGTGATAGAATACAAAAGGAAATGTGTAGTGCAAAGATGACACAAGAACCTGCATAAGGAAACTGACGGCACTGAAAATGTCACCCTTTCACAGGGAACGCCACTCGGTGGAATTAATTCTTCTATACAAGATTGTCAACAAAAAAGAAAAAAAAGCAGCACCAACAATGTGTCCTCTGCGTGATGGCGTGAAAAGACGGATTCATAGCCGTCAGATGAAGTAGCGCACAACCCGGGGCAAACCCTCGCTCGTTTACATAGTCTCGCTTGTTCAGGGAGGGTGCTTCGTAAAGTTTGCAGATGAGGACTGCCGAAGTGGTGGGCGATTCAGTGCAACGCTGAGTAAGACTTTTCAGATATTCTTCATCAGGAGGAGCAGTCTTTGATTCCGTTTGCCCCTTGTCAAGCCACAGGCACCATTGGCATCCCAAATGATCTGCACTTAATTACGCATCACTTCAAGCCCGCACCCATGCAACAGCCACACAATCATTATTGGAACTAACGCAATGTTCACCAGCAGAGACAAGCACGCAGAACAATTAATGCACTTTTACTAAGGTAATATAACGTAAAATAGCCTGATCACAGTTCCATGACTTATTGCTACCACAAAATTATTTTCAATGTCCAGATCAACTATAACAAGACCTCAAATGCTTTCTTTTTTTTGGCATTTAAGAGGAAGGCTCTTTCAACCTTTTTCAAATCATTTTAATCCAATGTCGAAAAACAACCTCAACAGAGCTCAATGCTGAACAGAGCTTTTCACACAGTCGCTTAACCAACACTATGGCCTGAAATGTCCCTTTTCTCCTAATCAAGTATATCTGGAGTTTCTGAGGTAAGCCTGTTAGTTGGTCTGAACGTTCCACTTAGTGTTGCCACAAAATTTGACTCCGTCCTTATTTCTCCAATGTGGAGAGTGAGTACTCGAACATTTCACTTAAGTTGTCTTTGCATGTGACACAAAATGGATGCCAACTCAAAGAGTGGGAAGGTTCAGCCCCCATGCAACTGGAATCGCAAACAAAACTCAAAAATAGCTCGGAAGCCACACATAGTGTATGGTTTGACACACTGACGCACATGAAGGAAGAGAGGGCCATAAAAATATCATACAAGCTTCAAAAACACTAAGGTAATGCAAATCACAAGCACACTTCAAATTAAAAGTCAACTATAAAATAAGCTGAAGAGAGACTTGAGCACAGAAAAGGAGGGGGGGGGCAACACACAAACCTCAGAGCCAACAACCTACTAATGAGCTAAGGTACTCATCTTACCCGTATGAATATATAGTTTATATAGTTATTTATATATATAGATTTTCACTTTATGCTGACACATAGCATCCATATCTCCAGAGGGCACTTTTATCACACTAATACCCTCATTTGCATGCTTATCATTTGTAAAAATCCTTACCTATATAAGTATCTAAAACAAAAATAAAACACGGCTCAACGACAAGCAAAAAATAGGATAATTGCACTTATGATTCATTGTACGGTTTTGTTAAATAAGCATCAGTGTGGGTAGCTGGTGCCGCCTGGGAAAAAAAAAAATACTGCAATCTTTAAAAGCACCCCCATTTTGATCATGTTAACCTAAAGTTTGAACGACTTAAGACTTAACCAAAAATGGTCCTTGTGGCGCAAACCCAAGGTTACACCAGGCACAAGGCAGGCAGGACCGCACTACTCCCTCTGCCTCAAAGTTTGGGTTCACAAAGTTAGCTACCTCAAAGCACTTTCTGTAGACATTGTGGGTAAAGTTTGGCCACCACACATTCAAAATGGCGACCCAAATCCCAGAGGCGATCAGGTGTCTCATAGACTTTGGTCCATATGTCTGCCTCATCATCATACTGGTAAAGGGAGTTCTTGCGGCTCGTGCGAAACACATGCTCCTCCACCATGACCTGTGTGGCTCGTACGAACAGGTGCAGCTTGCCTTGCAGCAGCATGGCCTTTATGTACGGGCTTGTGGCTTGGTCAAAGGGCAGATCTCTCTTGCGGCTCCATGTGTTCTTCTCGATGTCGTAGACCTCCACGGTGAAGGTGCGCTGGTGGTTCCTGCAGATACCAGCAATGTAGTAGATGCAGTTCTTGTACAAGGCAGCAAGACCCTGACTCCGAGGGATACTCATCGGGGCAAGATGACTCCAATAGTCCTTACGGGGATCGTAGCAGATGAAATATTCACCTGCAGAAAACAAAAAGGAAAGGTAATTTAGAGCTGTGGGCACACCGCTTTAACATACTTATGTATGTATATTTATGTATGTCATAAATGTCAAACCATACATACATATTTTAAGAAAATTTTTTCACATCACAGTCATCCTCAGTCCACTGTAGAGATTGCAGAGTTTCACTTAAGCAGCCTAAACTCACCTTGGAGGACATAGATGCGGTCCCTGTACTCCACAGCACTGTGAAACTCCATGGCCACAGGCATAGGACTGACTGCTGTCCAACAGTTATCCCTGGCATCGTAGCACTCTACTGACTTTAATGCATTTCGCCCATCACCTTCATATACTCGACCTCCCAGTGCATAAAGCTTCCCACAGCAGTGCACAAGCCTGCAGCCTATCCTCGCTCTGAGTAGAGGTGCACGTGTAAGCCACCGGTTGCCTGCGTGTTCATACTGCCAGAAGTCGCCCTCCGCCCTGTGGTCTATGGACACCTCGCTATTACTCGGTCTGTAACCTCCAGCTATGTAGATGTCATTGTCTGAGGACACCAAGATACCGACCTCCCGGAGATCATTGGGTGGTTTGCAGAGTTTGAACACCCTTCCTGTTGCTGTGTCCAGGCAAGGCACCGTCTGCTTCTTCCCTGAGTGTTTGTGAGCGGCATCAAAGCAGATGACCATCTCAGAAGCAGTCATACCTAGGCGCTGTGGGCAACCATTGGTTCCAGTGAGGCGGGCTTTGGCCTCTGAGGGGTCCTTAGACAGGGACAGGGCACAAGCAAAGGGGGCAGGTATCCGATTGAGGAAGGCCTCCTCCAGCAAGGGCAGACGGATGCATTGGGAAAAAACCTCAGCTAGGTGGGCCTCACGGCCAGGCAGATCGTGCTCCAACCAGCGGACAATGCTCTCGTAGACATGCTCTTCCTTCTCCACGTTGAGGTCATCATTGTTCAAAATGCTTACCAGCTGCTCCTTGGTCATCTGGAGGAACTCTTGCTCCCATGACACGCACAAGAACTACCACAAAAGCATGAAATGTTTCAGTTGTTAGCAGTCACAAAGAAAGCACTGTTACACAACATGAACAAAACAAGGTCTTCAAAAAACTATTGAATGAAAAAGAGGGAGTAAAGCAACAGCAGGCATAATCATCAAATCACAGTGCAAGTGACTGTTTAAGAAACCAACCCTGTGCTCATTTTAAACTGACCTTCTTGCGGATGTAGTCCTGCGAGCGTTCCCTCAGCTCCTGGTGCCCGTAGGCATCAGCAAACATGTAGACCCCAATACAGTTCTGGGGATCGAGTCTGCTGATCATGAACTGGGCGCACTGGTCCTGCAGGGCAGGAATCTGGAAAATGCTGGCTGCAGTGAACAGGGCCTGGACATTGGACTCAGAGAGCGTGACCCTGGATGTGTAGGCATAGTCTAGTACGAGGTGCATGGATTCAGATTCCACCCCAACAATTCTGACCTCCCGCTGGCTGCTCTCTGTAAGGCCACTGGTGAACATGGACCTGGTGGTGATGGGGGAGAAAACACAAATGCTGTAACGAAATGAATCAATTCTAGGGCAACAACTGCATTATGATTAAATAAGTTAGTTTGATCTGAATGTGTAACATTTATTAGCAAAACCCAAATAATGTTTTTCAGCAACTAAATTGTGAAAATACAAACG